GCACGACCCAAAAATGGACGTGATGGCACTCGTCTTATTCTACCAAGACAAGTCAGCCTAAAACTCAACAATTACAATAATATGCGGAATTTTTTTTTCAATAAGCTAATTTATACCCCAAAACCTGGTTGTCACGTGTACAAGCCTTTATAGTATTACAATTGATTCAAAAGATAAACTCAAGTCTCAAATGAACTTGTTTCTAGAATAGAACAAGATCATAATTATGGAGAAGAAAGTCTGCTGAGATGGAAATAGCTACCTCAAGAATCTCCAAGAAGCCTCGGAAAAGAAGAGAATAACAAGTACAACAAAAATTCACGCTCATAACCTACAAAAAATTGTAGAAGCAAGGGGTGAGTATCAAATCACACGGTACTCAGCAAGTAAACCTCTAAACCCAAGCTAAGGGGATGAAATACGGGTATTCCTACCAACCCCAACCGAACCTCAACAACTATAACCTGCATTAAAATCAACCCAACCTAACAGCTCACAGTTTACATAGCACGTATCTCAACAACATTACTTAGACAAATTACATATCCTCAACAACAACACTTCAACAAACTATATATCCGCAATAACAAGCTCAATATTGATCAATCACAAGTTCCACAGAAAGGAAATCAGAAGATCAGCAAAACACGATATCAAGTTCACTAATGATAAGTATGTGTAATGCAACGGAATGTAATGTCAATTATAATGATGCATGTCTGACCTAGTGATATACACCCGCTGTCTCTCAGCCCGGGACCCATGGAAGACGTATCTGTCCATGCATCTGTCGCGGCGCACGACACGACCCCTCGATAATAGTAACCATCGCGGCGCGCGATACATCCCTCGAAATATAGTATCCATCGCGGTGCGCGATACGTCCCTCGAAATGATACATCCTCTTTAAATTCTCATTCTTTGTCAATGCACATAACACTTGTCACAACCATGTCTTAAAATAATGCAAATGACATGTTCACACAAATAAAGAGGATATGACCATTTTCGTAACACAACACAATTCACAACAACATCAACAATGATTCAAGAAGCCTTTCAAATCACTCTCCATTATCAACACATCACGCACAAGCAATTATAAACATTACCTTTTATTGCCCTCTTTTTTCATCATTAGAATTAATCAATGTGGACAAATCAACTCAGTACCAAGTCTCATTACTCCCAATCATATACTACAAGAAAATACACGTATTCCATACAGTTAACAATTGTTTAGAAATCACTTGCCTCAATCAATCACTTTCCCTTTCGTTGAACTTCAACCTCAAAGCAATCTATTCACATTAATAATCACAATAAGATTTTAAAACTAACAACAACCAACTCTATAATCAAGTTCCCAAGTTTCAAGCCTAGGATTAAGTTCTCAAATTATTTTCAATAGCATAATTCCAATGGTATTCACATAATACCCTACATCTAATGCTTAATATGTATCTTAATGTGTCCAACTTCAATTTTTTTTAATATATATATACATTAACTAAATTAAAATTATTAAAATATGAGGTCACTGGTTACGAAACCAGTGACAAACGAACAAAGGAGGAAAACATATCCTATGCTGAGAGGAATACTATATATAATTAATTAAATGATATTTAACATGGCCAATCATTACGCCTCCAACATACAATTATTATGCAATATTTTCCCACTAATATTTTCTCTCCAAAGACACTGCTAACAACCATTTTTCCACAACTTATTTCTATAATAATAATATAATATGAGCATATCTAAAATTACCAATATAAGGATATAGATAAAATTTTCAAGTCTTGATTCCAATCAATAAATTAAATCTCATATTTCTTAAATTTCAAATCTAAAATTAAATCGTAACTTTTCAAACACTACAACCCCAATAATATAATATACTTGTTACTTAATAACTTACACTAATATATCAAAAATATGAATCATAATTGGATAACTAAAAACAGTTTGTGAAACCAAAAATTAGGTTATAGCTACTTAACCTGAACAATGAATCACTGTATAAAAATATAAAGCAAAATAATCAATCCGTCATAATAATAACTTTACAACATGTGGCAATCATTACTATGGCCAGCAAGATCTTTATGTCCACGTATAGGTACCAAATTTGGTTTTGCATCATGCAAATTCTCAACTTTCTTTGCTAACCCATTATAATAATAAACTAATAATAATAATAATATAACCTCTATAATTCATTTTAGTGTTTCAAATGTTCTTAATTACCTGATGCAATTTAGCCGTCACTTTGATTGTGTGGGAGTTGTGACGTTCTCCTCGGAAAGTTATCCCTTTTCCTTTTTCCGTCAATATCTATTTCAAGTTTCAATATTAGGGTTTTTGGCCCTTATTTCTTTTTTTTTAAATAAAATAATTAGGTATTTAAAGTGGTAAATTTTATTAACTAAAATTAATTATATGAAACAAATTGTATATGATTTTAATAAATGATCACTTTAACCCTTTAACTATCAATTAATTCAATTATCCACAATTACACATCAACTAATTAACTAAAGTCAATGAATAGTTCGAAATTATCAAAAATGAACTAGTGGGTCATTACACTTATCATAGTTCTAGTCTCGGCAAATTAGAAAAACAAATACACCAAACTCCGATATTGTAGTAATTGAAGTGTTATTCATCTCTATAATCACATTACGCCTTGTAATCTTGACAGGTCTTCCACACACAAAAATTGTATCACGTATAAATCTTTCTATGAAAATACTATTAGAAAATTTTCATAGAAAGATTTTTATTTATAGGGAAAAAATATAGTTTTGGAATATGAAGATTCACTTACAAAGTTGAAAGGTCAAGTATTATTACAAATTAAAGACAAATATTAATTAAAAATATAAATTAATTTGAAAGATGAAACACATACATGTATCTATTCAAAGGGATAACTCTTAATTTTTATTTTTGTTCTATTTAATTTACTCACATGTGTATACCAATTAAATAAAAATATTATAGAAATTCTACTATTTACTATTTAATTAATTATTTATTTAATAACATTTGAATTTAGCATAAGGGTAAAATTGTAATTCAACTTTTCTACTTTGGAGCTTCCCACTTATAATAATAATAATAATAATAATAATAATAATAATAATAATTATAATTATAATTATAATATATATATATGTATATATATAAATATATTATAATAATAATAATAATAATTATTATAATATATATATATATATATATATACACACACACACATAAACATAAAATCATATTGTACTTTTTTTTGTTGTTGTTTTCTCATTATTCAAATATCAAAATGAAAGAGTACTAATGAAACAAATGTTTTGAATAATTGATATTTTGTTTTTTACACATATGTTTTGAATTTTTCTTTTTGGATTTATCAGAAATAATTTTTTATCACGTAAATATAAAATTAAGTTTCCTGTGTATTATATCCTTCTCGAAATACTTATGAAAACATTAAATATGTTGCTATTTAAGTCGAAATATATGAATTAAGAAATTCACATCACGAAGATAGATGGATTCGCTTGGTGATTCACTTGCCTCAATTAAAAGTGACTCATTGTGTTGGATTTTATTATGAACACCAAACACTTAACTGAATATTCTCAATTAGTTTAGAACATTGAACTGATCATTAACAGAGCTTATAATAATGAACTTATTTCATCGTCTTCTTTTTCTAATATTTTTAAAAAGAAATAAGCCCAATGATCAGCTGTTCAATATTTATCTATATATATATATATATATATATATATATATATATATATTAAGTTAGTATTATACGCGTTGATAATATTATTATATGTATTGATACAATATCATAACATTAGTGATCTCCAACACAGAAGAAAGAATAACTTAAAAAATGTAGATAACAAACAAAACAGAAAAAAGCTTAAAAATTAAAAATGACAGAAACTCGTAGTCATAAAATCATTATTTTGATATTCAAAAATCAATCAAAACACTAATACTTTTTTTCTTAAAACTAAAAAATATAACTCAGATGATTGTCTCCTACCCAGTGTTTCAAGTCCATATCAGAGCTCCAACTAAATTTTGAGTAAACATTATTTTTTATATTTAATTAATCTGTGAAGTAGTAAAAAAACCTCAAAAATAATGTTAACTATAAAGAAAAAAAATGAACAATCCTCTTACATTTTATACTATGAAATTTTTTTTAAAAAAATTAATTCCGTGAGTTTAAATAATTGGATGATATAACTTTTAATAAAATTTGCCCTAAGATAATATAACATTTATAATAAAATTTTCCCAAAAAAATACTTTCAGAAATGCATAAATAATAATTTTCATATCCGTAGTGTGAAAGTGAAAACTTTTCACAAATTTTCATGCAGTGATTTTTCAGACACGTGTAAAGTTTGATTTTGTTTCTCAATAGATAATTACAACGGACAATATTTTTGAATCAAATCCCAAAGTCCCTCCTTAAACCACGTAGCAAGGGGCTATTTTGTTATTTTTCACTTAACCCACAGAAATAATATTCCTTCACAATTTTTCCACTTTCATACTTGATTTGTTTTCCTTTATAACCTCCTACACATCTGAAGGTTTCTTCCATCATTCATCATTGAAAATCAACTTCATACTTTTATAGAGTTTTTTTCCTATTAAGTTTGTTTAGTTTGAAATTCAATAGCTTTGTCGATTCTTTCAGCTTTTGCTAAAATGGAGAAAGCTAATCCTCAAGACAAAGGAAAAGGGATTGTAGAGGATGTAAGTATAGACTTAACATTAGACCTTCCGATGGAGACTCAAATGGAGTACTGGAGGCAAAGGAATTTGTTGCCACCTATGGATACTGAAATGGAGTGGAGGCAACAAAATTATCCATTTTTTGTGACCAGACGTCTTCTTTGCCGAGGGATACTGAAATCGAGTGAAGGCAAAGGTTGGAGGCTGAAATGACTTGGAGTCGAAGAATGGATACTGAAATCGAGTCAAGGAAAAGGTTAGAGGCTGAAATGGATTGGAGGCGAAGAATGGAAACTAAAATTGAGTGCAAGCGTAGAATGGAGACTGAGATGGAATGGAGGCAAATCAGTGGTACATTTTCTGTGACGAGGGCAACTTCCATGCCGCCAATGGAGACTCAAACAGAATGGGGAAAAATGAGTGATCCATTTTCTGTTAATAGGACGGCTTCGTTGCCTCCAATGGAGACTGGGATGGACTGGAAGAAAGGATGGACCTCCAGACATAGATGCGCGGGGACACGCAGCAGAATAGATGGGATAAACTAAAGAATGTTATAGTTGTTGAGGAAAATGAAGGGAATGGAACCTCTTCTTTGCCGTCACCTGGTGGATCTGAATCTGTAGGAAGTTTTGGTTCATCTGGAACTAGTTCTGAAACTCAACAACACCTACCTAATCAAGGTGATCGAAAATTCAATTGAGTTGTTCCATTTAATTAATTTCTCCATTTTCATTATTTTTTGTTCAGTTAATTTTCTTTTGTCTAAAACTAAGAAATAGTTTTTTTCCTTCAGTTGATGGAACTTTCATTGAAGGTGCATCTAGTAGTTCTAATGAGATACCTCCAGTTAGTGGCACATTGGAGCAAATGCGGCATCTGGTATTAGCAGCCATTGAAGCTACTAATGAGCAATCACCCCACTTTTCGGGAAAAGAGGGACTCAGAAATTTCTTGCTCAAAATGCCTGGTGTTTTCACTAAAGGTGATGGACCAAATGGAAAGAAGACTGAAGGATTTTTATACGCGTATAAGAGGGGAGGAGAAGTGAAGATTGTTTGTATTTTTCATGGTTATTTTCTGACACCAACCGAATTTGTTAAACATGCTGGTGGATGTGCTGTTGAAAACCCTTTAAGGCTTCTAACTGTCGATCCTAATTAATTAAGCTTTGTAGTGACAATGGCTATTGCCCAAATAACTGTATTAGGTTTAATATCGTTGTTATGTAATTTTTCCTTTTGTTGTTGCACCGAATGACTTCAATGACTATTTTTTCCAAAAAGGCATTAGCTTTGATATTGTTGTTGTTATTTTTCTTTTTGTTGTTTTACAGGAATAAGTTCCTCCTATCTAAGATAATAAAGTTTTTTTCGGGCATACCGCTTGTTTTGTTATGCTATGCATCACCATTTTTGGCATATGGAAGCAACAAACAGTTTCTATTCAACAAAATATTTCTGACACCAGGCAAGCTTTAGCTTGTCGTTCTCTTTTAGAATAGGAGATGAATTACTCCCTCTATTTAAAAAAGAGTGATCTAATTTTATTTGATGTGAAATTTAAGAAATAAAATATATTTTTAAATTTTGTGATCCAATGACATGGGCTTTCTTTTAGAAGATTTTGTCTTGGTTTGATAACAATGATCAGGGTTATCAGTACATCTTCTTGAAAGAACTGACATAGATAGTTATTTAAATTTGTTGTTTTTGATGGTATTGATAATGACTTAACACTCACTCGAACTTTCTAACATTTTATGTCAGAATAATGATAGCGTGCATATAGAATAGTCATCATTGTTAACGGCTAAAACATTTCATTTTGGACACCCTAGACAACAATTAAGTGTGAAAGATAAATTGTTTGGTGACTTTAACTTTTTCCTATTTAGGGTTCAAACGGACTCAAAATTGCTAGTCTTGAGAAATAATTTAAGCGAGTCAATTTAATATCATATTATTTGTTTTATTTTATAATTTATTTTTTGAAATAGGAAAAAGTATCAAATACAATTTTTACTTTCATTTATTTGTATGTGTTAGTAGTATTTGATATGCTATCCAGGAAAAAAATTGTGGTTAATGAACTAGACAAATATAAACGTAACTTAAGATTTCCCTCGAACGCTTGATTTCGCATTAAGTTATCATTATAATTGCTTTTCATTTTGTATAATTGGTTATGATTTTTAATATTTATGTGTTAATTAAGGATTTAAGGTTTGTGCAGTTTAACTTTTTAAAGGGGTTTAAAGCTAGTTTTCAACTTAAAGAGTGATCAATTCTTGTTTATTGTTGAAGCACGTATCGAAACACCTAATATTAGTTGTTTTCCTTATAAAAACCCCCAAAAAAGCCTACACCAAATTCACTACAACAAAAATGATCATTAGTGGTATTTAATTCTTAATTGCCGCTAAGTATATATTTTTAGCGACAATTTTCACTCTTTACATATGTCCCTAAAGCCTGTAGCGACGACATTGGTTCTAATGGTACTTAACTAATGCCGGTAAAGACGTTAGCACTCTTTATTAGTGTCAATATTTTAAATCACTAAAAGTTATTTTTGTTGTAGTGATTCTAAGTTTATTTTTTGAGTTAGACTTTTATATTTTGTTAAGTCTGATAATATTTTTGTTAATATATAATGTATAATGTTAGTTGTACATGCTTGGGGTATCACAAGCGAATGATTTTTGCTTTTTTAAAAAGAGTGTATATTGGGTTGGATGTTATATCTTATTAATTTTTGGGCATACATGTTGTTCGTGTACCACAAACGTCAATAAGTAAAAATCTTTATAAAGTTAAATAAATATTATTTTAAAATGTAATACCAACTTAACCTCAGTGAATTCACCTTATTATTTTCTTCCTTAATAAATAAAGATGAAATTATAATATTATATTATTAGATCGATCTTGTGTATAACTTTTATGCAACGAACCAAACCTTCCAAATATAATTTATAAAAAAACACAAAACTGTCGAATGAAATGAATTTGATTCACGTAAAAATAAGGTAATCAAACTTACTCATTGTAGGTCAATGTAGAAGTCATACTTGATATTTCTAACATTATGAATTCATCTTCCTCAAAATTCTTTTCGGTGTTCTTGAATAAAGGGAAGATGTCAAACTTGCAATACACTTTATTGTTACTCTCCGGTCATAGCCTAATTTGAAAAAATGTATAAATGATCAAAATCTTACAAACAAATAATAGAAGATGGAAAATGAGGGGAAAAGAAGGAACTTTACCATAGGAGAACGTAGAACTCCAAGTGGAAGAACCCAAGATGACAAATTCGTATTTGGTAATGGTATATATTTATTAAGCTGCTACTCTTCATGTTCTTTAGTTTAAGATTAAAAGGGAGAAAATGTTAATTCATGTACTTACTTAAGAAAAATATTCATCTAGGCCTAGATTTAATTGTGTATTCCAAAAAGCTCAAATATTTGAAATTAAAAAAATGTTATTAGTAGTAGATGATAATGGTAAAAAATATATCATTTTATTACTTTTTGTTGTATATATAATATACATATCGAAAAGCTGGTATATGTTTCTAATGTTAGATTTAGTTCCCTTTTATGCATGTGCCATGTGTGTCTTTTAATATACCTCTTGGATCCTCCGCTCTTTTATTTGACAAACCTATACACTTTCTGATCTCTTAATTTATATAAATCCTAAATTCTAAATTCTAAACACGCGTCTTCCATTTCAACATAGGTAACGTACAATCCAAGCTCGCCGGTTGGAAAACAAAATTTCTAAACATGGCGAGAAGAACCACCCTAGCTGAAATGTCCCCTAATAACATTCCGACTTGCATGATGCCACCGGCCTTGTATGAATGCATATGTTCATCTTCTTCCTCCGCCTCAAATCTCTAAATCAAATAATAGGAATTTAAGTTGGATTTAAATACGTAACTTGAAATCTTAAGTAAGAATATTTTAAATTAGTTAATTTCAAATCCTAAGATATAAATGAAATAACTTTAACACATTATTTATCAAATTTAACAAGCAATCCTAATTTTGAAACCCTTAAACTAATTAACTCCTACGCCATTAACACAAAATCATTGTGGCCAATTTTTGAGAATTTGTTAAACAAGATATATTTATCATATTTTTTAGTCTTTATTGTGTGAATTTTTGAGAATTTTTTCATAATTTAAAATAAGTGAATTGTTCGAAGTTTAAGAAAATTATTCGGACATTTTTCATATTTATCCTTCATTTAATGAGGCTCTTAACTACTTCACATTTTATAGGAGGAAAGTTTGAAAATAGTCTAAATAACAATAGTGGAAAGTAGCATTTTAATTAGTTATGTACTAAACTATTTTTCTTTAAAATGTGTCGTATTTTAACAATTCACTTAAGTTACTGTACTAGAGGAAGTATTAAGTTGAAAAAACTAAGGATAGATGTCATCGAATCGGATATGAACAAATTTCAATTCGTTCTTAGAGTTCAAAAATTCAAGCGTTGGCAAGTCAACTCTAGATTCATTAGTACCGATTTTAGGGGATTGCTAAGAGGTATGCCAACTCGTTGGATGAGTAGTTCTTCCCATTCCAATCGAGTAAGTCCACCACCATAAATGCCATAATTGGGTCGATGACCTGAGTCTGGCAGATGTAAAGATGGCTAGAGAGGAGACGGGAAAGGTAGCAAGGAGTGAATCAGCTCAAACATTCACACCTTATTAACTAATTCTTCTTGTTATAGTTTGAAATAACTATACATTGTCTCATAAATTAATAATTTAATATCAGGCCTCAAATTAAATATACCTAGATACATGTATGTTTGCTCTCAGATATATTCTGAAATACAAATAGGGAAAGAGGCAGGTGAGAGAGTTAGATCAGCCTTGCAAATAAACTTAAATATAGTATATCTAGAATAAATTACAACTATTATGAACCCCATTTATCCTAAATGCGTGTATATTTGGACTAAAATTTTGCATGAATGGTACTTTCAAAAATACTCACGAAAAAGCACATAATTAAATTCTTAACTAGTGAGATTTATATTGTTTACCTTATTTAGGTTAGTAATACCGAAAGCAAAAATAATAATATATTATAACATTTAATAAATTTGTCCAATAAAATAAAGTAGAAAAATACATTTAATTAACCTTTATAAAGTGGTAAAAAATTATAACAATTAACACGTGTCACTTTTGATCAGTTTCCTTTTGGGAGCAATTTGCTAAGTTATAAAAATGAATTTCCAATTAACACGTGTCACTTTTGATTAGTTACCCACAGAAATGGAATATTCCTTCACATTTTTTGTACCTTCACACCCTCAAATTTTCTCTTTAATCTATAATCTTCTAAATGGCCTAATGGTTTCTCCACCCTGAAAATTTCATTGAGATTTCTATGTCCATTTGATAATTTTTTAGTTTGAAATTCAATAACTCTATCGTTTTTTAGATTATGCTAACATGGAGAAAATTGAAGAAAATAGAGAAAACATGAGGAATGTGGATCTGAATTTAGCGTGTTTATTCAACGGTAATTTGAGAGTTTAGCTCTAAGAAATTTAAGATATTGAACCGTTCATCGTTAATAACTATTGAATTATTTTTTATTGTTTTTCAGGTGAATCAAGTGGATCACAAAGAAGTGTTGCTTCAAGTTTGACTGATCTTTAAACCCAACAACCACCTAATTAATGTATAAAATATTTCTTCCATTTTATTTTTTCATTGAAACACTTTTCATTTACTTGAATTATAAAATAAGTGTAAGTTCACGAAAAATGGTAATGGTTAGATTCTCAAAAGTATTAATGAGAAATCACGGGTGTTGTCAGCGAAAAGTGCTCAAGAAGTCGAAGAGAAGCTGAGGTACTTCTTGCACAACATGCCTTGTGTTGTTTAAGACACACCAAATGAAAAGAAGACTAAAGGATACTTATTATACTCGTCTGTGAAGAGTGAAGATCTGAAGATAGTTTGTAGTTGTCATGCTAGTTTTCTGAACCCCGCTGAATTTGTGAAACATGGTGGTGGAGGTGACATTGAAAACCTTTAAAATATATAAATATAGTTTTTGCCTGAAAAATGGACTAGTTGCTTTCTTATGATTGTTATTTGATCTTTTCTTTTGTTGTT